CTCTCATGTACTTTCAGTTTGCTTTTACATGTCTATTTCCAAAATTTCATAGCAGTCTCCTTTAAATATTCATTCAATAACTTGTAATAGTATGTTACTGTGCATATGGATATGAATGCGATATTCTTTTAAGTTTTTTTTCTTTTTAACAACAAATGTTGAATGACACGTTAATGTGCAGGGGTAGAAAGAAGAGTTGTATTATTTCTTCTAACATATTTGTTTTCCTGGTTTTATTTAAAATCCAATAAAATAGATAATAAAATATATATATATATATATATATATATATATATATATATATATATATATATATATATAATGAGTCTGTACCTCCATGTGAATTGGATCTTCACATATTAAACTACATAGTGGTTCGTGACTTCGTGTGTTAGTATTTTAATAATTTTTTTTTTGTTCAGAACTAATCATTATTCCTAGTAGTTCATTCACGTGAGTAATCTTTTTGTTATCTATAATATATGAACTCAGAAAATTTCGAAAATTAATAAAGGGACAATTTAGTCGTGACGGTTTGTTAATCCCTCATGTTTTATTTTGGTTCATTTTAGCCGTGACGGCTTAGTGATTCGAAATTCATTAAAATTATCATATATTGTTTTTTTTTTATATTAATTTAACCTTAAAATCATTTAAAGGGGGTAATTTAGCCGCGACAGCTTGTCGATCCTATGCGTTCGTTCAAGATCTTTTTAACCGTGACGGTTTGGTGATTCAGAGTTTATTCAAATTCTTCACAGAATTCGTATTAATGAAAATAATCGCATAAAATTTATTTTTTTTAGAAAAAGGGGTAATTTAGCCGTGACGGCTTGTCAACCCTGAGCATGATCGGAATTATTTTAGCTGTGACAGTTTGGTACTCCGAAATTTAAAACCAACCAACATACAAATATTATTAAAGAACGATGTACCTTTAAATTCCTCACTGTACCAGAGGATACGTCGGAGCGGAACTCTTTTCGTCAAGCTAAAATAAAATTTTAATAATTTAGTCTTCTTATTTTCTAAATAATTATGTTTATTTATTTTAAGGGATTAAGCAAATATTTTTAAAAGCTATTAATAATTTACACAATTAATTTAAGGTAACCGTTTTTAAACGGATGTGTCAGGGGTGCAGTGGGATTAAGTTTCCACCCTTCCTTGAGCATAATTAGACTCCCGAACCTTTGATCTATAATTTTAAAGACCAGTTTGCAATAAAATGGTTTTCCAATTTTTCCAAGTAAATAAAATTGGTGGCGACTCCATTGTTTTATTTTCTAAATTTTGGGTCGTTACAGAAACTCTTTATGTACCTAGTATAACTAGGAATTTAGTTTCGTTATCCAAACTTGATAAAGCTGGATATTCTTTTAAATTTGGTAGTAGTTCTTTCAGTTTGTATAGACATAAGTATTTAATTGGTAATGGTTTGTTATGTGATGGATTATATAAGTTGAATCTTGATAATCTTTTTGCTGAAACATTTATAGCCATGCATCAGAATGTCGTTATTAAACGTTGTTTAGTAAATGAAAGATCTGCCTACTTGTGGCATAAACGATTGGGACACATTTGCAAGGAAAGAATGGAAAGATTAGTAAAGAATGAAATCCTTCCGAATTTAGATTTTACTAATATGAATGTTTGTGTAGATTGCACGAAAGGTAAACAAACCAAACACAAAGAAATGGGTCACAAGAAGTAGTCAGCTTCTTGAAATTATACACACAGATGTTTGTGGACCGTTTGATGTTAACACTTTCAAGAAAGAAAAATATTTCATCACCTTCATAGATTATTTTTCACGTTATGTCTATATCTATTTGCTATATGATAAATCTCTTGCGGTAAATGCATTAGAGGTTTATATTAATGAAGTGGAAAGGCAATTAGACAGAAAGGTGAAGATTGTTAGGTCTGATAGGGCTGGTGAATATTATGGACGGTATGATGAAAGCGGACAACATCCAGGTCCATTTGCTAAATTCCTGGAAGAACATGGTATTTGTGCTCAGTACACAATGCCAGGTACGCCACAACAAAATGGTGTATCACAAAGGCGTAATAGAACCTTGCTAAATATGGTTAGGAGTATGTTAAGCCATTATTCTTTTCCCACTTCATTGTGGACTTATACTTTAAGGACTACCATGTATCTATTGAATAGGGTTCTTAGTAAGGCAGTTCCAAAGACTCATTTTGAACTATGGACATGCAGGAAACCTAGTCTAAGAAACTTGCATGTTTAGGGTTGTCAAGCAGAAACTAGACATTATAATCCACAAGAAAAGAAACTAGATGCAAGAACAATCAGTGGTTTTTTCATTGGTTATCCAAAAAAGTCGAAGGGGTATAGATTCTATTGTCCTAATCATACTGAAAGGATTGTTGAAACTAGAAATCCTAGGTTCATTGAGGATAGAGAAGTTAGTGGGAGTGAACCACTGTTGCGACTCGGCAAGTGCACCGGTCGTTAAGTAATAAAGTGTACCGGAGTACGAGATCGTTCCCACGAGGATTGGGTTTCAAACACTAGTTTGCTAATCGCGGTTTAGTTGGACAATCAATATTTAGATGAAGAAAATTGGAATTAAAAAGAAAACAATTAATAACATGCAAATTAAAATTCAGAATTAAAAAGCAATCGGAAAGATGATTGATTTAAAGATTAAAAATCAGCATAGTTAGGGTTTCGACTTCCCCCAATCTCCTCTATATGCTATGAATTAAACTGTCAAGAATATGCTCTTAATATAATGTCAATCAATTCTTTCTAAGTTAATTAGGGCTCAATTCCTTGTTACCCTAAATCTATGTGATCTAGAAAGAACTCTAGTTTCCCGATTATTCCCCAAGAAAACATGCATTAAGATTAAGAATTTAGAGATTGCACAATTACCCTATGTCTATCCCTAGATCACAAGGATTGTGATAAATTTATCAAATCAGGGTTTATGCACCAACATCTCTATTGTCATACAATTCTCCTAAATCAATCTATAAGGAGCAAACTCATAGAAAACATTAAAGACAGATAAATTTATTCAAATATAAAAAGAGAAGAATTCAGAGACAATTTAATTCAAAGCATAAAGCTTCAATTGGGTTCCATCTATCCCTAACTACATAAAAGTCTAGCCTAGCATACTGAATTGAAAAGCAATAAGAAAGAAAATAGTTCCCCAAGCCTCCATTGGTGTGATGTTGACTTGGCTCCCCAGTGCTCCAACGCTCCGCAACAGGATTCCTCCTTTGGGTCTCTGTGTATTTCCTGTGGTGTGTCTGTGAATTAGTTCCTTGACCCTGAGCTCCCTATTTATAACCTTAGAAACCACATCTTTTTTTTAATTCCTCATCAAATCTCCCCATGGATCTCTATCTATTCTCAATCAAATCATATTTGATTCCTTTTTTTCCTCTAAGATCCTGCAAATTGGGCTTCAAATCTTTGTTATGATTCCTTTATCACTTATTAGCACCAAATCTTGTGGATTTACCTTCAAAATAAGCAAGATATAAAAACATTAGCTCAATTTTCAAATCTGATTTTATCATATAACACCTTGAATTCCATGCAATCTACCATATAATTTAGAGAATGAGTTCCAAGATTAAAATCCAGATTCAAAGAGGAATAGGTGCAATCGTTTAATAATTTGTAAACAACTTTCTCCTTCTTTTTGGTCCATTCTTCTTCTTTTTCTTTTGAACTTTTCTCTTGTTTGTCGTTCTCTTTTCTCAGAACAAGTTTTCTTCTTTCTTTTCACTTCTTTTCTTTTTCCTCTTTCTGAGTAATTTTCCTTTTCTTTGTTTGTTTCTTTTTCATTCTAACCAACCTTACTTCCTTAGCTTTTGCCTTTCTTCCCTGTACTCCCATACATCACAACTTATGTAATCAATTAATTATCATTTGTTCCTCAATTCAAATCTGAAAGATAATCTCAAATAAGGTGAGGATTATATGGGAAGTGGCTTATTCATCTTCATAGGTTTTCAAAGAATAAACAGGCCTAGAATCAAAAGGGTTTAACTAAGAAATGTCAGCAATGGTTGGCTATTTGGCCATCTAGTTTAAAGAAAGAACATGCCTCAACATTATCTATAGAATATATCACATACCAATTCAAGCAAGAAACAAAGCAAGTTATAGAGTCTTTCATACTGTAACGCCTGGCCGCTTCAAGAATCAACGATTATCCCCACATACTAACACGAGACTTTTCAGTATGATTTTTCCTCACTCGCACACTTTCCCGGGAAAACTTCCCAGGAGGTCACCCATCCCCTATTCTTTATCTTAAAAAATTTCATCACTAAAGAGAATATTCAATGAATCATGAAAATCATTACATTAATGCTCATTATGAAAAATTAAGAAGGTGCATCATCATGCTCTGAATCAAATCATTGATCAAATTTCCTACTAGTCTTCCATTTAAAAGCACTGAGAAAAACTTTCAGATTTTCACAAAATAATGGATTGGGGTTTTTATTACTTAAAAAACTAAAAAATTAATTTCAATTTCTAAAAAATGTTGCATTTAAGGAAAAGAAAAAGGTTGAGATAGTTCCTTGTACTAGCCGGATGTTCCGTGTATACTCATGCAGTTTCTCCGATTCATTTAGCAATACCACCTGATGAACTATGCGTTTCACATTCCCAGATTTAAATGTTGTTGTCCCCAGCAACTGATTTAAAACTAAAAAAATAATCACGTTGAGAGTTAGGAACTAGTGGATTCCTCTGACTTTTGATCATGGTGGCTCAAAGCATGATTTGGTGATGACCAAGCTCCATCATTCAGAAATTGTGTCCTACCATAGTGCTCTTCCACATATGGATGAGGCAAAGTAGTCTTAGGAACTTTGAACTTGACTTTTACTTGCTTTCCTTTGCTCCTAGGCTTCTCTATTTCAACCTTTGGCTTACCTTCTTGATGAGAATTCTCTTTGTGCTCTTCTTCTCCTTTCTTTTCACTAATATAATAGACTTAATCTTCCGGTTGAGCTATAGGTGAGGAGACTTCTTTGTCAAAGAACTTGAAAATTTCTTTCTCCCCGTCTACCCGTAAGATCAACTCGTCTTTCGGTACATCAATCAGCGCTCCTGAGGTTGCCAAGAAGGGTCTTCCGAAGATCATTGGAATTATGGCATCTTCCTCAATGTCAAGGATGACAAAATCAACAGGAATGATGAACTTGTCAACCTTTACTAGTATATCCTCAATGATGCCATAAGCTTGCTTCGTTGAGCGATCAGCAAGTTGCAAGATTGTCTTGGTTGGCTTTACTTCAGTGATCTCCAGCTTCTTCATCATAGATAGTGGCATGACATTAATACTGGCACCAAGATCACATAGTACATTATCTACTTTAACCTTGCCTATGGTGCATGGAATGCTGAAGCTCCCTCGATCCTTGAGCTTGGTAGGTAACTTCTTTTGGATAATGGCGTTGCATTCCTCTGTCAGAGTTACTGTCTCACATTCCTGCAACTTACGCTTTCTTGATAGTAGATCTTTCATGAATTTAGCATAGTTGGGCATGTTCTCTAAAGCTTCAACAAAAGGAATGTTGATATGCAACCTCCTGAATATGTCTAGAAACTTTGAATATTGCTGCTTCTGAATCTCTTGCTTCAATCTCTGAGGATAAGGGATTCGAGCATATGGAGAGAGATCCAATGGCTTGTTCTGTCTTTCTAGAGCTTTCTTCTTCTCCCACTTGAATAGTTTCATTTTCAGCTTTTTCAGTATTGCTTTTGTCAACTTCAATAATATCCTTTTCCTTTTCTTTCTTCTCTTCCTCAACCGATGCTTCTTCATCCTTTTTCTTTTCTTCAGGATGGTTCTCTATAGGCTGAATCATTGTCTTACTTCTTGTGATTATTGCATTGCAATGCTCTCTAGGATTAATGATAGTGTCTCCCAGGAAGGTACCCTTAGCTCTCTCAGCAAATTGCCTTGACAACTGACCAATCTGAGTTTCAAGATTCCGGATAGAAGCTTCTTGAGTCTGGAGTGAAGCTCTTGTTTCATCTCTGAAGGCATTTGCATTTTGAATATAGTCAGATGTGTTATTGGACAGTTGTGCAAAGGCTTTCTCCCACTCTGAAGTGTTACCTTGTGGTGGAGGCTGTTCTTGCACTGGTGGAGGATGATTCAATTGATGATTTGATTTGTAACTAAACCCTGGGTGTTGATTTTGATTTTTCCACCCTGGATTGTAGTTATTTCCATATTGGTTCCTCCCCGGATTATTCTAGTTCTTTTGATCGTACCAGATTCTGTTGACTTCAGCATTCTCAGGTGCCTTCATGAAATCGCAGTCTTCAGTAGCATGAGTACATGTACAAATACCACAAGTAACTTGAGGATTATGAACAGAAGAGACTTGAGAATTGACAAATTGCTTTGTGAGAGCATCTAATTGTGCTTGTTGTTTCTTATTTATTTGCGATATTTGTTTATTCTGGGCCAACAGCGCATCATAGCCGTCAAGCTTCATGATCCTCGTTCTCCTTTGTGGTACTGGAGCATTATCGAACTCCTGAAAGGGTAAAGATTCTAGCAATTCCAGCGCTTCTTCTGGAGTTTTTGTTTTCAATGCTCCCCCTGATGCAGCATTCACCAAGGTTCTTGTGCTAGGCGTCATTCCTTGGAAGAAGATTCGTCCTTTCTCCCATGCTTCAAAACCATGTTGGGGACACTTCTGGAGTAGTCTTTTAAACCTTTCCCATGCCTCGTATAAGGATTCACTTTCTTTTTGTTCAAAAGAAGCGATCTCTGCTTTGAGCCTTGCCATCTTAGAAGCTGAGAAGAATCTGGCCAAGAACTTGGTCGCCAAGTCATCCCAATTAGTGATTCTTCCTTGAGGCAGTGATTGCAACCACCCTCTTGCCTCTTCCTTCAGTGAGCATGGGAAGAGTCTGAGCAAGATGGCGTCACGTGAGACTCCATTCATCTTCAAAGTGTCACAATAGAGTAAGAAATTCTCTAGATGACTGTAGGGGTCTTCGGTGCTTCCTCAAGTGAGCTGATCTTTTTGAATCAGTTGCAGCAGTGCTGGCTTGAGCTCAAAGTTGTTAGCTTCCACATTGGGTCTAACAATACTCGCCGTCTGCGAAACTCGGGCTGGAGTCATGTAATCTCCCAAAGTTCTGGGAGGATTCTGAATCGCGTTGTTGTCAGTCATAGTTTCTTCTTTTGGTTCCGTCGAGCTTGATGCTTTTGGTTATTTTGCTTTTCTTTCTTTTGCACTTTTTCTGAGTTTTCTGGCTGTCTTTTCTATCTCAGGATCAAACTGCAAGGATTGTGGATTAACAGTACCTCACATAAACTAAGAGTAAAAGATTATGCAGAAAAACAGAAAATAGGAAATTTTTAAAAAAAATGCAGAATTATGCAAAAAAAAAAAAAATTAATTAATTTTTTTTCTATAAATTTAGATAAAAAATTTAAAAATTTAAAAAAAATAAAATAAAAAATAAAAAAATTAATACAGAATTTAAATTGCAGAAAAATAAAAAGTCCAATCTAGATTGCTTATAGCTTCTTCTAAAGTTGAAGGACCCAATCCTCGGCAACGGCGCCAAACACTTGTTGCGACTCGGCAAGTGCACCGGTCGTTAAGTAATAAAGTGTACCAGAGTACGAGATCGTTTCCACGAGGATTGAGTTTGAAACACTAGTTCTCTAATTGCGGTTTAGTTGGACAATCAATATTTAGATGAAGAAAATTGAAATTAAAAAAAAAACAATTAATAACATGCAAATTAAAATTCAGAATTAAAAAGCAATCGGAAAGATGATTGATTTAAAGATTAAAAACAAGCGTAGTTAGGGTTTCGACTTCCCCCAATCTCCTCTATATGCTATGAATTAAACTGTCAAGAATATGCTCTTAATATAATGTCAATCAATTCTTTCTAAGTTAATTATGGCTCAATTCCTTGTCACCCTAAATCTATGTGATCTAAAAAGAACTCTAGTTCCCCGATTATTCCCCAAGAAAACATGCATTAAGATCAAGAATTTAAAGATTGCACAATTGCCCTATGTCTATCCCTAGATCACAAGAATTGTGATAAATTTATCAAATCAGGGTTCATGTGTAACATCCCCGTCTCGAGCCGGTTCAATTAACATACACATGATATAAACAGAAACAGCGGAAGACTTAACTTACGAAAATATGAGCTAACTTTTTCTTTTTCTAACTTAATTCTTACTCGGCGTAAACGAAAATCGGGCAGAGTTTCCTCTATAAATCGGACAACTGGGGATTTTCCAATCCCACTCAGAAGCATTTCCTGATAAACAGTTTATACAACATATCAATTCAGAAATACCAGATATCCAAATATAATCAAATACCCATACACGGGCGCATGCATAACATGGCTCCGTGCCACTAAATCTAACAGCATGCCATCAAAACATAAACCTATCTGAATACTACATCATCATATAACGTTCCTGAATACTCAAATGTACATGCATCAAACTGACAGACATGTACAAACATATACAGGCCATATACAAAATAAAGGATCAATATCATGATCCATCAAATGCGAAAATACTAAAATACATCAAACACTCCAAAAAGGTAGTAGCCTACAGCCACTCAAAATCCGGTCTGTCAACTGCCTCAGCCACGTGTCGTGTCCCTGCCTAGTGAGGACTCACCGGAAATCTGGGCACCTGAAAATGTGTCCCCAAAGAGGGGTGAGATTACAAATCTCAATAAGCTCCAGGTTTATAGAGAATTCTCCATACCCCTGGCTCACTCCTGCATGAAAGCCAGATACAAAGTATACGAATACAACATATAACAGATATCATAACAGAACAGAGCATATATCCATATCATATCAGAGATGGGCGCCGTCATTCCCAAGGGAGGACCCCAAGCGGAAATCAACGCACGTGTTCCCGAGGGAGGACCCCAAAGCGGAACCAGACATATCAGAGGAGTACACCATCAGTCCCGAGGGAGGACCCCAAAGCGGACGTCCGGGTACTATACAATCAATGGCCAGAGATTGTTACAGAAATCAAATTACAGAAGTCATATCAGAGCAAAACATATCACGTTATCAAATAACTCTATATGAATGCATCTATACAAAGCATCTAAATCACAGTCATACAGTCCAACCATAGTTCACTAACCATGGTGGAGCACTCAAGCAGGAAAAGACTCCTTAAACATAGAGCTTACCTCTTGAAGCTTTACCAATACGCTTACTTGTGGAACAAGTTACTTTTATCACTTCAAGAGATTTCCGATCCTTCTCAATCCCTAGGCACACCTAGAGAATAATTTACAATGCATCAATAAAATGATGCAATACCATAATTATTTCATAAGCATACATTTTATCGCTTATTTTCCTTTCTTTGCATTTTTGCCAATCCTATGCCAATACACAAGTCTAGACCTCTTTATAACCGTTGGTGTTCTTTAATTTAATCAACCATTCCCTTAGGAATTTTCAACATAAATCATGCTACTTTTCTTCAAAACTCATCACTTTTATACAATTTATTACAACACATTTTATTTAAAATAAAATGTACAAAATATATCCCTAAATACCCTATAGGTCGAATCCTATAAGGGGAATTTCCAAAGATCCTTCTCTTTTACAATACATTTTCGTTACTTCATTACAACTTGCAAACACCTAGGAATGCTTCCACTAAATTCCTATTTTGAGTTTAGACACCAAGTCCTTTTTACTTAGGCATTCTTACTAACTCATCCATTTTCACTCATTTCCAACACACTATACCTTCACAATACATAATATAATTTTTCCACAATAACTCCTACTCACTCCATGATGGCCGAAACCTAGGAGGAAAATGCAATAGGGCTTTTAAATTTTTATATCACATGTGGATGCTTACTCAACACTATAACTTCCTAAACAACAATAATCTATCATAAATTTCACATTCTAACATCAATTATTCCCCACTCACAACATGCTCATATATTTCATAACTTAAATCATCAAAATTATATCATGGAAATAGAGGTTTCTTACCTCTAAACACTTGTACAAAGCCTAGAGAGCAATCTCCAAGCCAAGCTCCATCAAAAACTCACTTTTTCTCCTCCAATGAATAGTAACTCGAAAATGAGAGGAGGAATAACTCTTCACACACTCAACAAAACCTCAAATTGATGGTTGGAATGGGTTCATTGGGTGTTTTACAAGCAATTTCATGTGGTGGGTCTTTGAATTTGGAGTAGAAATGATGGAGAATCAAGGAGAAGAAATTCAAAACCCTACCCCCTTCTCCAATGGTGCAGCTCGGTTTTGAGAGGGTGAGAGGAGAGAGAAACTGATTTGGGATAATGAGACTAAGTCACTTATAAGGCTAGCACATGTGGCCTTTTTTAACAGATGTTTTTCTATCGCGTATTTTAACTTAAATTGACCCGGAACTAACTTAAAACTACGAACATATTTTTATTTTTCTAAAATCATTTACATTAATTTTTATCTATT